TCGATCCTGGATCCACTCAACAAAGGTAAAAGGTCGAAATTCGATCAATCGAACTCGAGAGGAAAGTCGTCCTCGGCCGTTGTCTCAGCCGAGCTCCAGTAACTCATCCGAATTGTTTTTTGATACAACCCTGCGCGGAGTGGGAGGGGATGGGGGTTAGGAATAAACAAAACCCCGAAACTGTTTATTACGACCCCATGTAAATCACAGTAATTCGTTGGGTTTGTCGTTGTTAGGACTGTCGTTTTGTCCCAATAAGCTGCGCGAAGGGGTGGATTCGGAGTTGAAGAGGACTAACCCGCGTGATTATCTCTGCTGTTTTATCTTTTTTTAATAAACCCCCTCGGATTCGGCTCCGAAGACGGGCGATCATTAAAATCGAGGGACAGGGTACGAGACTCTTGGCTGTGTTAGGCAAGAAACGCGTATCTGCAATGAGGACCCTGGTTGGATGTGTGGTTCTGGCTGCGTTCACGTCTTTGTCTCACCTGAGGGGCCCCGTTCGCCCGATCGTCCGGACAGCAGTTTTAGTGTAAAATATTACTCGAAGCACAGTTGGAAGTGTCTCGTCCGATTACCATATAAATGCCGCGCGCAGCCTTTCATTGCATCTTGGAATAAAAGTGAATTGCCAGGAGCGCCACATAGTGCCCCGACGCGAGCTTTCGTACTCTCATGCCGAGGAAAAACCTCGTATCAACTTTTGAATGTTGCAAAATTTCTTCAGAATAAATACTTATTTTTAAAGCAAATTTATAATTTTCAATTTTATTTTAGAAAAAAAACTCTGTAATGTGGTCCGAGCGGCGAGGCATGAATGATCAATTATCGATATTTTCCCATTTGAAGCTATGGTATTAAACCGATTATTAAAGGCGTTTGTTGGGAGCACCCTGCTTATCGATCTTTTCCATAGGTTTAAATGGTAGATCAATCGATATAGGTCGCATAACACAACACGCCTTTGGTCAAAACAGAATGGTGCAGGTGGTTAGTCTTGCATCATTTCATTTTTTACTCAAATGTTCATTTTTGGAATTCTTAAACTTGATTTCCCTGCAGAGTGAACCTAGGACTATTCTACCATCACCTAACCCAAAATTGCATTGTAAATAAAATTCCCTAAAAAAAATAAGAAAAAAAAACCAATAAGTTTTCCAGACAAACTTTATTTCTTATTAATTCATCGTTAGGAACTTGGCAACGTTTCAACGTTAACATAGCGTTCATGTTTGGCGTTGTTACATTTTGGAGTTACTGGTTGTTTTTCTCTAGTCAGGCACTGGCGTTCTAATTAAACTAAGGCTTACCAAATTTGAATAACTGTTCGAGGCAGTGACTTGAATTATTCGCACTATGATTATCTGAGAACTATGTCTTATCATTCACTATGCCGTGAAATATTGCCTAAATTACTGAACGATATTTAGTTTGTTGAACCACAACTAATTTGAGCTCAATGATTTTGCAATTTTAACGCGTCATTAACGACAATTTCATTGGTGCATTTCAACGAGGGAACGAAAAAATGAGATGAGCGTAAAAACCGTTGTGATTGGTTGAATCAGGGCGCAAGGGAATCTAAGTTTGAATTAAGATTAATAGGACACTATTTCAGTTGAGTTAAACTACTATCAATAGGAATTAAATCATAGTATATCCTCTATATTATCGTTATTTTTGGGCACTTTGCGGTCCAAAGTCAATGGAAGTTCTGAAGGTTAAGAAGTTGACTGTATTCACTATTTGAGGTCAAACATTGTTTTCATGCCTGTAAATAATCTACAGACTTTTTGAAATAAAATTTTTATTGCATCCCCCCCCCGCCCACCCTCCTCGAAAAATGTTTAAGAAAGGGGCTCAGTGTTCATGTTGTGTCACACCCGACAGAGGATAAAATCGGCATTTGCGCAATTTCAGACATGCCCTGACACTGGAGCACCGAGGGTTAGGACACGTAATCCACACTTAAATGCAAAAATTTCACGATTGTCTCCCCCCCCCTCCCCTTGCTATAAAAATTTCGCTCTTTATTTCCTCGCACCTCGTTTGTCGTCGATGTATTGGGGGCTCAGTATATTTTTGTAAGTTTTATCTATCGAATGCATCAATGCCCCCTCCTGTCCCCTACCTCGGGCCGTTCTCAAGGAGAAATACCGATCGATAAATTTCTAAACAAATACTGAAAACGAATGCATTCTAATTAATTAGTGAGGCGGCAATGGCAAGAGACGGGACGGGACAAAGGACGATATCCAATCCGGATTGTTCCCCCGCTTTTCGCCTCCTCCCCCCCTGGCCCCCCTTTTGCGCGAACCCGTTCCCGACATGGCTGGTAGTGTCGCAAAGCCGACAGAAGAAGACTAATGGAAACAAAATAAGGATGGCACTGCATTGTTATAATCTGATTACTGTGCCATTCCGCGCCGAGCGACCGATGCGACACCTAGCGTGTTGAAACCGTACCGCGGCCGCGTGTTTTGTAACTTTAACTCATCTTAATAGCCAGTTTTCCCCACTCCCCCCTCGTCCAGCCGCTTTCGCAAAGAGCAAAGTTTTATGTTACGTCTTTTGAAATGTGAACGTCGTTAGTTTTAACCTTCCCTCGCCTCTTGCGTTGGAGCCCTCTCCCGCTGGAGATCGATGGGACAGGAGGAGGAAACGAAGAGGACGTGATGGAGGATGAGAGGGAAAAGCCAGAAAGGCAATGAGACATCCGCTAATTACAAGTCCGTTCTGCGGATCAAAATTCTCAAGCTCTGTCGTCTGATAGTTAGAACCTTCCATTATGATAATATTAAAGGGAATTTTTGGTAAGTTTCGATTCAAATCAGGGGCCATTGTTCATTAGGTGTTGATTGTAATCTACTTTACAGAGGGCTGAGTATTGAAATTGATAGACAAAGCTATAGACAAAGAAAATCAGTCTACTGGTGGGAGCAGATGGATGTAATGATTAGAGGGAGAAAGTGAAAGACGGACCAACAGCAACACACGAAAGACCCTACTTTTAGTCCATCAGTTTCCCCCTCAATCCAAAACAACCACCCGTTTCATCTAACGCAGTTAGTTCATTTTCTCCTCTGTCCTATTTGTCTATTGTCATGGCTATCAATTTCAATAATCAGCCCGCTGATGCTATAGTTAAATGGCACTACTCTACTATAAAGAGGTCATATATTCTCTTAAAAATCGACATATATTTACAAAAAAGAATTGTTTACAAGCTATAAACGAATTGAATCAGAAGGAACCATGCAACTATGGAGTTCGCCTTCAATGTCCCGATTAGGCAAACAGAGTGGCGTGGGAGCAGTATTAGCTCCATGCAACAGCATATGGCCTGCCTCTGTTTATTTCTTATAAATACAGGATTTTCCTTACAATGGTTGGCGCTCATTCTACCAACTTTGACTTTAATGCCCCCGCTGATTGTGTAACATTGTCTTCCTTAAAACACCTCCTTCCCTCAAGAAGGCCGCACTGAATCAGTATTGTGATTAACAGAGATCTAAAGAGGTTTTCATCACAGCATAATGGAAAGGCCAATTTTTACGACCCTAAAGTCAATTTCTACGGTACAACTTTGAGAATACACCCAATGCAAGGTACGTATGTGATTTGCTACTACGAAAATTACAAAATACTGACGAATTTTTTTTTCCAGTTTTACAAATTCTAATTGAATTTTTTAAAACTCAGAGAATATTGACATTTAAATCTGTATTTTGTATTTTCCGTTTCAGCAAATCATTTTACATTCATTAATCACTTGCAATGGTGAAAGTCAAAAGTTTTATCGCAGAATTTCACTCGAGTTTCGTAAAAAATTGTCTTTTTAAAGACGTTTTGTTAAATCTCTGCAAGTTGCCTTTAATCTTATGATAAACTTTATTGGACTCCTTCTGAAAACTGTATTTGTTAAATGAGCGAGAGTGAATATGACCCTATTTCTGATCAGGCGACAAAAAACACTAATAAATGACCCGAAACTTTATGTAACAAGCTGGAAAAATGGTGTTCTGATCAGGTTTCATTCAGTAAATTTTTCAGGTGATTTGAAAAGCTTCGAGTGACAGTGCAACATTTTAGCAAAATCCATATCTTATTTATACTGCCTATTGCCGTTTTTGGCTAGTAATTTTCTTTAATTGCTTTCATACTTTACTTTGGCAAAGAAAAATATATGAAATAAAGTTCGGAAAAATTAAACCTTTTCTAAAAAAGATTTCCGGATATTATCCGTTATGTATCTGCAAATGAGGCCTTCACTTATCCTAGGTACAAAAAAAAAAAACGACTTCGCTTGAAATAGTGAAGACTTAAAATTAAACTTCGAAAAGTTGCATTGATGACGGACGTCACAACAATTACGTCAAAGACTTTTTGAAAACGCAAATTTCAACTCATAAAATTTCCCTCCGTCTCATGAATAACACTATTTCCCCTTATTATTCCAGTCCATGTTTGCAAATTTCGAACGGATCTCTGATTTCTACGTGGAAAAAATCCCGTTAAATTAGTTCAGACGATTTATTTTTCTCGTAAAAAAAGGTAGAGGCAACGATTTTGAAATTCAAATTAGTTGCTTGATTTTAAGGGCCAGTCATTGATACCTCTTGATGCATTTATTGTTACATCTTCATTTATATTTCAAACATGTTATGAGAAACGCAGAGGTAGGAGGATTTTTTTTCTCCACGGAGAACCACTGCGGGCGGTGCAGGGTGCACCTCGGCGCACGTCGCATCTTTCGAATGAATGAGCGTACAAGCTCCGGCCCTCTAACGAGAACCAGAAGGAAGCGACAAACGAAATGACAGCGAGCAAGAAGAAAGGGGCTCCGATGACCCGGCGGAGAGCGGAGTAGGTGTCAAGGAACTAGCGCCGCGCTCGGCGGGTTCACGAACTAATCTCCGTGGAGGGGAGCCGGCCGCCACAAGGCTAGCCCCGGCCGCAGACCAGTTCCCGTCGAGACTTCAGTTCAGTCGCAGAATCAGCCACCGTCAGACCACGTTTCTCGCTCGCAGGATGTACAGTGCTCTATTTTCCAGTGTTGTGTTTTTGGCTACCCCAGGATACGGCCAGTGATAGTGCGATGTTTTCTCCAAGGATTACGTGTGTTTTGTGAGCGATGCTGGCTCTAAGAGCTGGATAACTTAGCTGTTCAGCATGCGCGTAGACCCAGTTTTGTTGGCTCTGCTGGGCGCCTTCCTCGGGGCCATCTCGGCGGCTACGAGCAGAGCCCTCCGGTATCAGGCCCCCTACGAGTGTAAGTGGATGAGTGTCGCGCTCGACGGGAGTGAATCGGAAGTGTCTTCGTCGGCCGATCCGGATCAGGAAGTCGGGTTGACGTGTCGTTTGAAAACAATCAACTCGGAGATAGAAAACACGAATTTTAGCATAATTCAGCCGCAGCACACGGTGCGACTTCGGATAGAATGCGGCGACCTGTTGTTCATCGAAAGCTCCATCTCCCCGGGGAGCTTTCAAACGCTCATCGACCTGAAAGACCTCTCGATCGAGTACTGCAAGATCGCCAACTTGTCCGCGGGTGCGTTTCGCGGTCTCCGCGAGCTTCGGAACTTGACCCTCCGCACGCACAACACCGACTGGTCGGCGATGACCCTTAACCTCGCGCCGGACGTGTTCTCGCAGTTGGGTCAGTTGCACCGGCTCGATTTGAGTGTCAACAACATCTGGTCCCTCCCCGACGGGATCGTCTGTCCCCTGAAAAACCTCCAACACCTCAACCTTACCAGAAATAGGATAACAAATTTAGACGCCTTCAAGTTCGGCGGCAACCCGTCGTCGGCGGCCGCTCAAAAGTGCGGGCCCCACCTCCAAACCTTAGACATTTCCAATAATAGTTTAGATGCCTTACCATCCTACGCCTTTAGTCATTTATCGAGGCTCCAACATTTGCATTTGCAAGGAAACGTAATTTCCTTTATGGCGGACCACGCGCTCGACGGTCTGTCGAACTTGGGGTACCTCAACCTCGCCGATAACAAACTAGTCAACTTGCCGCCCGAGTTGTTCACCGACATCCGCGGTATCAAAGAAGTGTACTTGCAGAACAACTCGATCAACGTTCTCGCGCCGGGTATCTTCAACGGTTTGGACCAGCTCTTCGTTTTAGACCTCTCGAGCAACGAATTGACCGACGAGTGGGTCAACAGTGCCACGTTCACGGGGATGATCCGGCTCGTTCTTTTGAACCTCTCCAGCAACAACATCGTCAAGATCGACCCGTCCATGTTCAAAGACCTCTACAGCCTCCAGATCATCAACCTGGAGGACAACGCCATCGAGGCCATCGGCGAGACCACCTTCCGCCACCTCCACAATCTCCACACGCTGATTCTCTCCCGAAACAAGATCAAACGCGTGGAGTCTGATACTTTCGATGGCCTCATCGCCCTCAACGTCCTCTCTATCGACAACAACGTGATCGAGTACATCGACCCGGAGGCGCTGAAAAACTCGTCGAGTCTTCGGGACTTCCATCTGAACGGCAACAAGCTCTACGACATCCCTGCCGTGCTGAACCAGGTCCCTAACCTCAAAACGCTCGACCTGGGCGACAACTTGATAACGGACATCTACAACGACTCGTTTGTGATGATGGAACAGTTGGTTGGCTTGCGGCTCACCGAAAACAACATCAGCAACGTCACGAAGGGTGTTTTCGATAAAATGGTGTCGCTTAGGATCCTTAACTTGTCTAGCAATAAGATTAGGAAAGTGGAGGCGGGTACCTTTGATTTCAATGCCAATCTGTTGGCGATTCGCTTGGACGGAAACTATCTGACTGATATCGGTGGTTTGTTCTCGAAGTTGCCCAACCTGGTTTGGCTCAACATTTCTGAGAATCTTTTGGAGTGGTTCGATTATGCTTTGATTCCGACCGGGCTCCAGTGGCTCGATATTCATAGCAACCGCATCACGGAGCTTGGCAACTACTTTGAAATCGAGAGCCAGCTCCATTTGACAGTTTTCGACGCGAGCTACAACAGATTAACTGAAATCACAGGTAACTCCATCCCCGACAGTGTGGAAAATCTTTATTTAGCCCATAACCAGATCGCCAAAGTTCAGTCTTACACTTTTTTCAAAAAGCCGAATCTCACGAAAGTTGACTTGAGTAACAATCAGATCGAGAGTTTGACCCAGAATTCTCTGAGAATCTCAACTATCCCGAAAGACAAAATGATCCCCGAGTTTTTCATAGGTAACAACCCCTTCCAGTGTGACTGCAACATGCAGTGGCTCCAAACTTACAGCATCGATCAGGAGCGTAACAAACCCAATTTAGTAGACTTAAACACCGTCAATTGTAAATTACTCTACAATCGAGTAAAAAGCTACGTGTTGTTGCACCAAGCGACTCAAGATCAATTTTTGTGCCAGTACGATTCTTTTTGTTATCCGTTCTGCCATTGTTGTGATTTTGATGCGTGTGATTGCGAAATGACCTGCCCCACCAACTGCACTTGCTATCACGATGTGTCGTGGTCGGCGAATGTCGTTGACTGTTCCCGCGCGGGCTATGCCGACAACCTCCCCCTGAGAATCCCGATGGAAGCAACTCAGCTGTACCTTGACGGGAACCACATCCGAACGATCGGGAGTCACAGCTTCATTGGCCGTAGAAAACTGCAGATTTTGTTCCTGAACAGCTCGAGCATCGAAATCATTCACAACCGAACTTTCAACGGCCTCAAGGAGCTCGAAGTTCTGCACCTCGATGATAACAAGTTGAACGCCTTGCGGGGATACGAGTTCGAGGGTTTACGCAGCCTGAGGGAGTTGTACCTGAACAACAATAGGATCACCTCCATTCATAATTACACTTTCAGCTCTTTGTACGACCTGAAAATCCTGAGGCTGGACCACAACTACATCAAAACTTTTGCAGTGTGGACCTCGGTGACCTCCAAATTGAACGCCCTGACCCTCGGGTCGAACGCGTGGTCTTGCGAGTGCGATTTCGTCAAGAAACTCCACGATTTCGTAGTCTTCAACAAGGCCAGTATAGTCGACATGTCTGATATCAGATGCGTCAACAGATCCGGCATGTTTGATAGCGGTTTTTTGGTGATCGAGGAAAATGTTTCCTCCTGCGTAAACATCCAGAACTCGGTCCTCAACTCGATAACGTCCAAGTCAAGCGACTCCGACGAAAACAACAACATGTCGAATTACATCGAGAGCGCGCTGAGCAACAATCTGCAGAACAAAACTGTGATTCAGAAGCAAATCATGCAGGACTACGTGCCACTGCTGGTCGTTACGGTATCCGTGTTCTTCGTTATCATTATCTCGACGCTCGTCGTTCTCATGTACAAACAGGAGTTGAGGGTGTGGTTCCACTCTCGGTTCGGCGTGAGGCTCTTCTACAAGACGAGCGAGATCGAGATGGACGACCGGGACAAGCTCTTCGACGCTTTCGTCTCGTACAGTGCCAAAGACGAGACTTTCGTGGCGGAGGAGCTTGCGCCGATCCTGGAGAACGGCGACCCTGCGTACAAGCTCTGCCTCCACTACCGGGAGTTCCCACTCGGGGGTTACGTAGCCGACACGATCGTCCAAGCCGTCGAGTCCAGTCGGAGAACCATCATGGTGCTGTCCGAGAATTTTCTCAAGTCGGAATGGTGCAGGTTCGAGTTCAAGTCCGCGCACCACCAAGTCCTGCGGGACAAGAGAAAAAGACTGATAGTAATTTTACTCGGCGATCTGCCGCAAAAAGATTTAGACCCTGAGATTAAGCTCTACTTAAAAACGAATTCGTATCTCCAGTGGGGCGATAAGTTGTTTTGGGAGAAATTGAAGTTTGCGCTCCCGGATGTGCCCAACAATAGGCGGCGGAACCATTATACGAATCGCCATAATGTTCACCATGTTCATAGGCACCATAATAGGAATCATAACCATCACATGCATCAAAATAATACTGTTAGGTCGGTCGCGATCCATATTTGATGAGTCTAGTTTAATTGTTTCGACTGTTTTTTTAGTGTTTGCTTCTAGTTCCTTTTTATTGAGTCTTTTGATTTTTCATTCCTGGTTTGCTGGAAATGATGTCAGAATAGAGACCATGCATCTTATTACCACGACTATTCTTCAAAATTGTACACTAGGTAAAAATAATATTATTTTCAGTTGTGATAACACGCGGAGGTATAAAGTTTCTAGCTGTAACAGGAATGCTCAGTTGAGCCCGAATCTAAACTATTTTTCTACAGCCATTATAGAAGTTCTAATGACAGTGCATCTATCACTGGTGAATTTTTCTAGTTGCATTGACAAAAAAAAAATTGTGCTCAGCCATGACTTAGACTTCTTGTAACAGCTAAATACTTTTTTTCCGTGAGTCACTCATGGTCAACTTTTTCTGTTCTGATCATATATTTGTTCAGACCTCTTAAGCAATTATTGTTTTTAATGCAATTTCCGATATGCTTTCAAGCAATACTTATTTTGTAAGCACAAAGAAAGATGTAGAGGTCAATTCCAGCTGACTGCAAACATGATCTCAGTTGGGTTGTTCGTGTACATTTTTGGCAGGAAAAGCACTGAGTCGTTTTCGACGTCGTAATTTTATACAATGAACATCCCTGATTAAAACAAAGTTAACAAAAATTACGATTTCATTGCGATTCAAGTGTCTTTAAAATATGCACGAACATCCCTGTGCGATTCCAAGTAAACCTCTCTGCCCACACATCAAAACATTGATTTCTTCAGAGAGAAGAAATTCAAACCTTGCGTTTGTAAATAAGTATTATCTAGTCTCTAAAAGTCAAGTCACCCAAGTGAATCGCATCCTGATTTCTTAGTTTCTAGCAGAGCCCTCCTAAGAAAGGAAAAAAAAAATATTTTCAATTTTTCTGACAATATTTACGATCAAAATCGACCTAACAGACTCATCGAATGTTTTGTTGTTATTGTGTTTTAGTTGTTTTTTCTAATTTTCTCTCACAATGAACGTACCGAAAAGAAGGTAAATTCTCTATAATGTCTGACAATTTGTCTCCTCGCTTCTTGCACTAGCGTTATTTCAAACATATCAGTAGATCTGTTTTTTGTGTTGAGAGTAGGCACGAATTCAAATTAATTTTTATAAATTGCGAACTAGTCAATTTTTATTTTAGGAAATTAATGATTCGACTCTTGGAACATTTTATCAAACTGTCTTAGCTTTTTATCCCTGATGTTTTAATATATTTTTACCTCATTAATTGACACATTCGCTTTAACCATTCAAAAAAGTACGTAACATTATACATTTATTTGAAAGAACGTTATTCCGATTTGAAATTTTTTTTGTAACTTGTAACATTGCTTTGAGTGCTGAAAAATAACTTAGGTGAAAAAGAATACTTCTGCCGAACTTTTTGCTCACTTGCGATGATATTAACGGCAGTATATTTTTGTTTTGTTTTTCAGTTCAATTTTACACATATTTTTGTATCGTAATTTCTGAAAGTCGTCGATCTAGGTACGACAATCAATAGAGTTTCCCACATATTTTCAAGCATAGATACCTATGCCTTAAAATTGCATAATTTTGCACTACTTTTCTGACTTGTATACCTTGTAATTACCTAATTAGAAAAACTTTTTCAGTCGTAAAATTAAGCCAAAATTTGTAAAGCCAACATGTTCCATCTCATCAAATCGAGTCGTTCCGTTCATCACATCAACTGTCTACGCTGCATCACGTGTCAAGTTCTCCACGTCGTTTTCATCACCGCGTTTCACAAATCAACTAGATTTTCATTCGCAATTTCGAGAAAATTGATGAAGATTCTGTCCTTGAGGCTTCTTTTATCATATTTTTGTCTCTCATTCGTCAACGACCAGGTGATCTACAGTTCGACAAAGTGTTCTAAAAAATCCGAGTCGTGTAAATATACCCTAGTTTTAAAAAAATGTGATATTTGTAAAAAAAAAAAGAAAAGTAAAATATTCTTCGCGTCCCTGTGTTATCTATCGTTTCAAATCAAATTCGAAAATCAGAGTGTAAATAATCGTGTACAGTGTATTAAATTACTTAGTGAGCCACCGTCCGAATGTATGCCGTCCTATTGTTGTCCAAGAACATCCCAGGTAAAAGCATTTATTTCTTTCTTGCTCTCTTTGCGAGTAAAGGAAGTTACATCATATTTTCATTGTCTTCTGCCGTGATTACGGTCAGTTTGAGTGTATAATTCTGTTCGCATGCAAAAGCTCCATTTTTTTCTCCAGTCACCCTTTTATACGATTCCAAACATAGCGTTAGTCTTAAATGCTATCAAATTTTAGTGGCTGATGGAAAGGTGGACTTTTAGTGGTTTCTTGATTCCCGATTGTACATAATCATCTGGAAATTTAGTAGACAGTGCTTGATTTCTGAATGTGCTCATAACATGCCTGATAAACGTAGCTGGACGCATGTTCCCTCACACTGAGAGAAATCCAGTACTTGTTACTAAATTCTAGCCGACACAGCCGCCTATCTTTCTATACTTGCGTTTAAGTCTCCAAACTTGCAACATTTATAAAACGATTTTGCAAAACTAAGTAGGAGAATTCCCTTTCTATTTCACCCGCTGAATGTAGAAATAATTGGGACTAATCAACACACCTTCGCTAAGAAAATGTGTTGCTATTTTTTTTCCTGTGATTAAGACAAACATGCGGTATGGTCGAAGAGATTATATATAATCAGGAATCTAGCAAGACTATCGTTCTTTTTGATAATTGCATATCGTACGTGTAAAAAAATGATGTTTAAAAAAATCTCGTGAGGTCATTGATCCGTTACCTCTCCTGCCGTGCTGAAGAAAAATGTCGTATGAACATTCCAAGTTGGCCCCGCTAAAAAAATGTAATTTTGTGAACAGTTTTGAATGTTTTTCCTTGAAATTCCTAGATATTTTAGAGTAAATTGCGAATACAATTTACCGTAAAATTCGCATTTTATTACCTGTAGGAAACTCTCAGCGTGCAAGAGCTCATGCGTCGTTCTTCCTCAACACGGCAGTATTTGAACAGCGCTTAATCCGAATGTATTTCATCGATTTAGCTTTTAGAGGTGGTCGCATGGAATAGCTTTAATTTTTCTCCGTCCCCACGGAGAAGAATTCGAGGTATTCCATCGTAAAAAATAGAGCAGAAAGTCTAGCACGAAATTCATCCGAAACAGGTTTCCTTCCTCCTTTTGATTGTATTAATCCGAGCAGGAGTTATCAAGCGAGGATCTGTGTGATTTTCAAACCTCGTTTCTGACGTACCTATAAAAATAACCGATTCGAGAGAGGCAGCTGGACCAGGCGCGAGAGCTCTCTACATGCTGTCAAATTTTTCGGGGAAAAAACGAGTGCTTTCAAGACTCACGCCTCGAGATCCTCACCAACCGAGAATGAGGAATCTTAATCCATCCGCCATTTTTTTTCTTTATTTTTCATTTCATGCCGGAGTCGCAGTTTCAAACCAAAGAGTTCAAACATCAAGTTTGAACTAATCAAAAATTACTCAAATTCCATAGATTTTGCAACGGTGCCCGTAGGATAACCGCCGTCAATTCTAACTGCGGAATTAGAACTCTCCTTACTTACGAGATTGCTTTCATTCTAATCCACATTCTTCCCTCTTGGAGGGGTCGCTTTCAACTTCTGACGCCCAACAAAGTGGTACGGAAATATCCAACGTGTATCGATGCAAAATGATTATTTTTTCCGGAAAAAATCAGTGAATGCTATGTGTACGATTACAGTATGCTGCTTCGTAAGTAAGTTTCTACAGACAGTAAGTTAATTTTACGGATCTCACGTGCTTGGTCCAATTTTCTCTCTCGCTAGGTAGAAAATTCCTACGCCCTGCTCGGATTTCTCTCATACACATTTTTTTTATATTGAAACTCTCATCGAATTTTACGTGTGCCTGTGCATGAAAGCTGACTGTAAACCTGTATATGACATTCTTGATAACTTGTTTCCTGCATGCTTTTGGAAGAAAATAAACCGAACATTACGGTTACGAAACGAAACATTACGGCAAAACAAACGGAGTTCAGTCAAATAACATGCGCCTACAACCAAAGCTTTAACTGAAGCGATGCTCAAATGCTCAATTTTTCGTCTTTGTCCTATGACTCTCAAGGCGGTGTAAACCTGGCTCAGTATCAGACTTTTATCAACATTTTACAAGAAGACATGATCAATTTCTCAATGATATCACAATATATATTTTTCTTTACAACAGGCACTTTGATAGGCAATTTTGGGTTCATTTTTACACTTTTTTGAAAAAATAAATTGTCAAATGCAATGAGTGTTACCATTTCTCATCAATAACTTAATATCCATGTATCTTCAAACATTTGTATATTACCGAGAAAAAATATCCCTTTGAAACCGAAGGAATATGCCCGTATTATGTTCTCACGACTAAATTCCAGCTATAAACCCATCGTAAGGGATATCATAACAGAACGTTTGAGGAACATGTTCCTTGGTTATAAGTAATAATTAAACCTCCGTTTTCCTCGTGACCTAAAATTTTGAAAACTCGGTTCCTCGATGTCCTTTTTTGGGAAAGGCCCAGTCCCATTCCTGATCCTCCCTGGGGAGCTAATCTTTTCGCGTATTTTATTGATCCTCAAAACTTTGGTCCCTCTCCGCATGTGGCGTTTGATTTCATCACTTCCCGTTCGCGAGACTTGAGGAATGCACGTTTATACTGCAGATTTATGATTCTCGCATTAAATATCATTTTAAGGACAGTCGTGATATCTGTGAAAGTGATCTTTCGGTCACGTGATAAACTCGTTAGTTTACGTTCGGACTTGCGTAACGTCGGCGCTATGGTCATTCACCGGCCATTGCCAACTGCACCTCAATGATTCCGAAGCCATCAATGTGAAATTAGTTGCAATTTATTGCCATCAATGTGAAATTAGTTGCGATTTCATAACCGGAAGCAACATTGCATCTTCGAAGAGATGCCACACTTGTTGCGTTGAGCTTTCGGTCCCCAGAGTTCCGTATCCTAAGCCTAATTTGCCGCTACGTATACGAAAAACATCGCTGGTTTGTTTCGTCGGTACATAATTTACTCTTTAAGTATCCTTTCGAATATCTATCTTTATTATCGCGATTTGTAAAAGAAAAAAAATCCAAAATTGTGAAGAACAAATATTTCATAGTTCAAAACATTTTTAGGGATAGCTCTTGTTACGGACGCTTTGCAAACAGCTACGCAAAAAAAGTTAACCTAGATAGTTGTGTGAAAGATGTTTGGAAGTGCACTCTGACTGACATCAGCACTCCCAAACATCTATCACACAACTATACTTTTTTTATTTCTACCACTAGTTCAAATAGCCCATTGTTTGAGACCATAAAACTCGGGTCGCCTGGCCGGGAATGGAACCCGGGACCTCCCAATCATAGAGCTAGCGCTACAACCACTACACTTAAGTTTACTTTCTTTGCGTAGCCTTTCGTAAAACTTTTGTAAGAAGAGCTATCCTTAAAAATGTCATACTTTGTCACACGACATCCGAAACAGAAAAAAATTATTCTTGAGAATTTTGGATTTCTTAGGAATCGCAATTTTAAGGATTTCTTCAAATCTCCCCCTATCCAAGTGTGAAACATAAGGGGCCTCCAAAGGAAAGGAGCTCATATGGGGATTCCAAAGGAAAGAAGCTTCATAAGGAACAGCAGTTAATATGACACTCAAGAGTGGAGTTTACTCTGCAAAAAGAGCGATTCCCGCTCCGCACTGGAGTGAAATTCACATCGAAATTTTCCATTTAACACACTGAGGAAAAAAACACATTGGATCTAGAGTCTAGACTCTTGAAAACATTGACAAGAAAAAATACTCTTGATTCAATCGGATTTTTGCTTAAATCAAGAACCAAGCCTCTTAATTTGGGCGGATTTCCTTTTGTTAAGCTTAAATCTGATTGAATCAAGAGTATTTTTTCTTGTCAATGTTTTCAAGAATCTGGACTCTAGATCCAATGTGTGTTTTTTTTTTTTTTTCCAGTGGTAGTATTAAAATCCATTTCGTCTACTCGGAAAATGTGTCGAGCTTTTCCAGGGCTCTCTGGATTCTATTCGAAAGCGGAGTTGGCGTGATGCGCAGAAGGTGGTTTCCTCGGTATTGGCGCGGATAGCATGAAACATTTGCAGATTTCTGGAAAGTTTCCCCGGCGAGGCACCCGGGATCCCCGGTTCGCGGTTCGGTCATCAAACGGTCACGACGAGCTAACCGTGATTACCATTGCCCCTGAGCGCCGTTGTCGGCTCTCGTCATGCGGAGCCGCTCTCTCGCGCGACCGGGCCAATAGAGAAAGCCATTATTTTTTATCATCTGACAACTATGGCGCCAAGTTCACAAGCACGAAGCCGCGGTTGCCGAGTTCCTCGAGATGGATGCATCCTAGGATTCGGCGCGATGCATTCTCAGTGCAATCCTTGCTTTGTGAGTTTAGGTTAATATCGCGAGCTTTGGGTAAACACCCTGCCAGTCGTGTGTTAGCACGAAAATTCATCAAGTTAGAAAATCAGATCTCGAATTAATCTCTTCGATTAAGTAACCTTTGGCTCAAGTGGATACACTCTCAGATTTGGCAAAATGCATTCTGAGTGCAATCGATGGATTCTGATTTTAGGCTAATTTCCGAGCTTTAGATACTAAGGATCTAGCTTCAGACCGGTGACATGTGTTCACATAAAAATTCAACTTTTAAATGAAAATCCTGTAGTAATTTCTCTGATAGAGTAGCTGATTTTTCTGCATCTTCTAAATACAATTCTGCGACTTGATGATCTAAGAGTAGTTAATGCTTTGGCAAAGCAGACATCGAAGAACATTTAGTGAGATCGCAAGAAACTAACGATTCTTTCCACACTGGCGTTCACGGTTTTTTTTTTTTTTTTTTTTTTTTTTTTTTTTTGGGGGGGGGGTCAAACAAGCTGTCAAAAAATTGCATTTTCTCCGTGCCATCTTGCAAAAATTGCCATCTCCTTTTACATGTGTAACTTGAAGTTTGAGTGTAACCACCCAGGAACTGATGATGTAAGCGCAATGCACTAGGGTCCGTTTCAGATAACTTTTCCTCTTTTGCTGTACACGCGAGATAGA